GCCCCCCCCCCCCCCCCCCTACGAAACAGCGGTTCATGTGTGACTAATCACCGTTCCCCTCTCCGCTCTTCCTTTCGAGTAGATGGACCTCTTGTTAGAGTCGTGCCACTTCATCCCGGAGGGCGGGGTGGAGGCGTCGCTCCTTGGGGGAGGCGAGGGCGGCGACCCCCTGGCCGCATCGCCGTGGGACGAGGGCAACGAGAACACGGACACCGCGAGCGACGGGGGGGCAAGACCACCCCTCCAGGGAGAAGGAGAAGCGGGATGCGAGGGGGTAAGAACGAGTGCCGCGACGACCAAGGGGGCTTGGAGGAGAGATCGCTGCTGGTGGAGGGGAGGCGGGGGGAACGGACGGGGTCCGTCACTGGGCGGGGGGGCGGGGGAGGAAGGGAAATCACCGCCGCACGACGACCGCTGCCTGCTGACGGCCGTGGAACGCTTCGATGGCCGCGTGCTCCTCCGCCCCGAGGAGGGTCATCAGCTGATGTACTCCGTGCGGCCAAGGGAAGAAACCACGTCCCCACCGCCGGGCAGGGAGGGATCCTTGGGCGCCGTTGGGGGTGCTGCGCGGGCGGGGGGCGACGCGGGGGAGGGCGGGTTCGGGGAGGGGAGTCATACGCTGGGCCGGGTGGAAGTGTGCTGGAGGACGACCACGGGGGAGTCGGGGAGCATTCGGGGCGGTCCGGTGGTGTTCGAGGCCCCCGATCGACCGGAGGTTGAGGTAAGCGGCGGGTTGTGTATCGCGCGCGCGTGTGTGTGCGTCCCCGTTGACCGCGTATGAGTTCCGTGTTGTGGTCGTGTGACTTGGAAGACAGCGATGCACCCTAGGTTGTTGAACGTTTGAATAATGGTGGCCAGTGTGCAGAAAGGGTTGATTGTTTTTGTTGTCGTGTAGTTGTCATCTATCCGTGCTTGACGCCTGAGTGCACGTTCCCTTACCGCATGGTTTCTGCGTATCAGTTGGGGGTCACGCAGTTTGGGCTCCGTTTGCGGTACACGCCTTCGGCGTGTGCATACGTCGCAAGAGGGTTTTTAAGATTCCTCCCGTCAGACTTGTTTGTATACGCACCCAAACAACCGCGTTCTTGTAGGGTGCCAATAGCGGGGTTTGAGTCTCTCGGTTGACGTGGCAGCCATGACAACGCGGCCGGCGTGGACATTAGGTTCCCGTGCGAAGGACGCGAGGCTGCCACGGGGGCGAAATTGGCAGCGTTTTGGTGGAGAAAGTCGTGTGCAACTACAGACTTGACATTCAGCGAATCGTAAGTGAACTTCGGGCAGAGCGGCGTGACTTTGTTCCGAAAGATGACGGCAGTCCATGTGAATCATGCGCGTGCTGTAGGTGTTTTCAATGGGGGGGGGGGCATACTCTTATGTTTTGCATGCCTTAGCGGTTAGACCATTGACCACGCGTCCTCGAGAGGACGGAGCATTGTTCCCACAGGACAGATCACCGATGGCCAATCGTTCCTTTCTACTTTGCCAAAGGTGGCTCAAAAATGTCTTCCCTAGTCTTGTCTATCCTAACAATATCCCTTCCCGCCTTTTCAACCCACCTCCTATGCCCCTGTACAGCTACCGTCCTTTCCTCTCTATTCCATGGCTCAAACATCTCCCTGCACGTCCCATCCATTTTTCCCACCTCAGTCACGTAAACTTCCTTCTCCTTGTACAACGGACATTCCGCGACTACATGAACACGGTCTTCGCATTCGAAGCCGCAATCACATTTGAACTCGTCGTC